TTTGTTCATAATTTAAATCTTGGGGAAGTTTGTTAAAACCTTAGAAAGTTTTAGGGGATCCCTGGGTGGCTCAGCGGTTTGGTGCCTGCCTTTGGCCCAGGGCGTGATCCTGGGGTCTCCGGATCAAGTCCCGTGTTGGGCTCCCGGCATGGAGCCTGCTTCTCCCTCTGCCTGTGTCTCTGCCTCTCTCTCTCTCTATCATTGTCTATCATGAATAAATAAATAAATCTTTAAAAAAAGAAAGAAAGAAAGAAAGAAAGAAAGAAAGAAAGAAAGAAAGAAAGAAAGAAAGAAAGAAAGTTTTAAAGCACAGGCCTAAATAGAATTAGGGATGTTAAGGCCTAAATAGAATTAGGGATGTTAAAGACTCGATAAAGGGAAACAGAGAAACTGGTTTTTCTGGGCAAGAGAAAGAGAAAACAACTATTTACATTTTTTTTTTTTATCAAGAGCAAACCAACGATTCAAGAAAACTTGTCCTTTCAACAGAGAGAAAGCAAACTTTCAATCTTATACCAGTGTACTTTAAAATCCACTCACGTCAATCTTAGTCCATCCTGACCACACCTAAAATTCCTTTCCAAGGATATCCCTTCACAAATCTACAATTTTCTTTTGCATTCAGATTTTGTCCCAAGCCATTTCTTTCCAAACAGTCTCATTTAGGACAAAATTACTTTCTTTTACCTCCAACAAAAATGCATTCCCATTCCTTCTATCTTTCTTACATATCTCCTACTTGTCTACCTAAGAGTTGCTTCCCTTGTTCCCATCAGTCTTAACAACATTTAGCAGAATTTTAACTCTTAGAAACCTTAGTCCCCAGTGAAAACTAAGGTGTAACCGATTTTAAACTGTCACAGCAGGATTCTTTAGGTGGCAAATTTATGAACCAGTTAAGCACAAAGCATGTTTGCCAACAGATTTGAATATCGTTAGTTCTTTTGCAGTAAGGAGTCAAAAGCACAAACTGATGTCCATAATCAATGCTTTAGCACTTTATCCAATTTGTAAAAGACCTAGATGTCCACTGAATTTAATCCTACTTATAATCCAAACAAAACTTCCAGGTTTCAGGTTACCAAAGACTTTGAAAGCTATCTTAATCATTATGCAAGAAAACTTTGATGAGACAATTAACCATCATTTAAGTCATCTTGTAATTTGTTAAAATTGCAAGAGATAACATGAGCTTATTTGACCTTCAGCAAACCTCAATAGAATAAAAGTTTCACGTTGAGTGCTGATAACTTTAAAGTCATGTCTGTCTTAACTAAACCAGCAAACTTAATTCGGTATTAGTTCAAATACCGAATTATGTTCCACCTGGATCCTTCCCATTGTCGATTTTTACCTGAGACGCTGGTGGGGAAATCTGGAGTGGGCAGTGTTAAGTTCAGGAGATGCTCTTCTTGCTTCTTGACAGTGAGGGGAGGAGGAGTCATGGTGCCTGAAGCACTGAGAATGATCTAGAAGCCAGTTATGCAGGCTGCACCCAAGGTGGTGCACAAACAGGAGAAGGGGGCGGGGGTGGGGGGGAGGCAAAGTGCTGCCCAAAGGCTGAGAAATGATACCTGGTTCTAGAGTTCATCAGCTCCAACAGAGGAACAGATGCCTTATTTTCCCAACAACAAGGGGGAATGGGCAGTCCATGTCTGGCCGGAGAAGGCAGGGAATATCCCCCAGAGTTTTGGCAGCTGCTTGGGAATATTCCTTAAAGTCTCTGACCCTAGATAGACTAACCACAGTTGGCTCCAATTATAGTCATTAATCCGGGAAATGAGTGAGGGAGAAGTCCCATATCTATTAGGAGGAGGAACAGTGATAGAGCCGGTGCCCCCTTTGCTAGGGTGGCCTAGGATTACTTGGAGGACGCCTATTTAGATAATTAGCATCCAATACATCAGGAGGGAGTTTACTGGTCTGATTACCACCAAAGATGTTCTGCAAGAGAACTGTAGGTCCAGGTCCTGATGTAGAGCCCTGAAAGCCTAGAATGGACCTAGGGTACCTCCATCCACTTGCCCTGTTTCCTGCAGAAGAGACCTGCTGACGATCCTACTGAGGCCATGCAGTGTTACAGGAGCTCAGCCCTTTCCTTAGTTTGGCAGTCTGAGTTGTTTCCAGTGGGTTACAAAGGCACCCCAAGGGAGAGTCCTTGGGGACTGAAGAAAAGAGAGGGTCAATTCCCTGACTCCCCAGATGGTGTCCCACATGCAGGATATGTCAGATGTTCCTGGTGTCAAAGTGATTTGAGGCATCCCCCGAACAAAATCACTTATGACCACTGCTGTGGATAAAGGCCCCTGTAGGAGGGATGCTCGTGTACCCCTGCTTCCCCATGGCTTCCTATGCAACAGATGGATGCCTGGCATATGGACAGAAAAACCGCCGTTTTTAACCCATGGAGAACACTAGAAAAGTTTTATAAGAGGAAATTACCAAATTTTGTAGCTTAAATAGTTAGTAGAGAACATTGATGGAAAGCAGTAAAGAGAGAAATCCATCATGATCTACGAGATGTTCCAACCCTTGTAGTCCTTACAGCCAACTTCCCTAGGCAATGGTCGACAGTTGGGTTTTAATTCAATCGGGTATTGATTTCAGCTGGCTCCCAGTGGAGGCCCCAGGGCCAGAAGTGGCTTGACCAGGGATGTGAAGGGGATTGCATTAGATCAATGAGGAGGAAACCTCACAGGAGAGTCTTAGGATTGGCAGCCGTCCTGGTGATTTAGGAGGCTGTCCCTTGCCCAAGACAGACAATTTTGTATAAGGACAGGAACAAAGAGAGGGCATCAAGTTTTTAGGTCTTATTACCATCCTGGTCAGGGTACTAACCTCCAGCCCAAAGGCAGGCTTTCTCCTCCCGGTAGAGGAGGCATGGGCTAGAGGATTACAGTCTGAGCCATCGACATGAAAGTGTTCCAATAAGACCACACTCCTTGAAGAGCCCCTGGAGGGAGAGTAAAGGAAGAGGAGAGAAAGCACCAAGTTTACAACATGGCTCAGAGTTTAGGTGAGACTCTGGACTCAAAGTTCCACGTTTGGGTGCCATGTGATACTGGAAAAGACGCTTGGTTTCAAAGCCCATGGCCAAGAAAGAATTCTTGAGATGTCTTTGGTGCAAAAAGGTGGTTTTATTAAAGCATGGGGACAGGCCCCTTGGGCAGGAAGAGCTGCAAGGGTCATGAGGAGTGGCCCATTATATACTTTCAAGTTGGGAGAGGGTTAGGGAGAGCATAGGTCTCTAAGGAATTTTGGAGGCAAGGTTTCCAGGACCTTAAGGGGGCTGGCTATTAGGAAAAGATCATTTATTACTACCTAATGAAGCCTGAGTCATGAGACCCTTCAGATATCGGTGGGTCATATGCTTGGGGGATGATTGTCAATATGTATCCTGAGGGGCTTAGAAATAAAGGAAATTTCTAAGGGGATTTTTATATGTTAAAGTAGACTCACAGAGTCCTGGGGATTGGGCTAAGACTGCCTTTTGCCCTTAGCAAAGTATTAACATGGAGACAGTTGAATCCCTAGAGAAATGTCACTCTGCCTGTTTCAAGGACTTGTCAATAGGCTGTAGGTAGTAAAGAGATTGCATGATTTTTCTCTGCCTTTGTGTCTCACACCAGTTAATATACAGTGTTATATTAGTTTCAGGAGCACAAAAGAGTGATTCAACAATTCAGGGTCTATAAATTTTGCCTAGACACACATGCATGCAGCTTAATTCTTACAAAAGCCTGGGAAACAACATTAAATCTTTTTCCTCCCTTCCTCTTAACCTATAAAAAAAACCCCTGAGGTTTAAACAAATAAAGTGACTCCCCAAGGTCACTCAGCTGGAAAGCGGGGGGGGGGGGGGGGGTGTCTAGTTTTGAACCCAGGCAGAGAGAGGTGGTGGGACTTGTGCAGCTCTAGCTAAGACCGCAGTAAGTTCTAACGACTGAGCGATTTATATTTAACTTTCAAGCGAGCATGGGCAAGTCATTCCTTAATGTGATCCTCATTTGCCTAATCTGCAAGGTGGCTCCCTCTTGGGGGGGGGGGTTTGTTTTGAGTGACTGAGAAGGTGCAGGCCAAGCATTTACTCACATCTTAACGTATAATATAGCCAAGTCAACAAGTGGATTAAAAATAAACTGACAGATAACACTCAGAGGGGATTCAGGTCCCTCAAACCCCAGGACGTGCGCTGACCATACACTTCAATGCTTTTATCCCAACAGATACACCCCTGAAATCCAAAGGGGATACAAAAATTGCCTCATCCCCATCGTTGCCATAGATTTACCTGCCCACAGTTTTCCTTAATTCTATCTAGCCTCCCCAGGGTTTTATTCTTTGGCAGGCCAGGGGTCTGACTCAGCACTCGACCGGCGCTCAGAGCTTGGAATTAGAGAAAGAAACAAAACCTCCCAGGGAGCAGCTTTTTCCCTCCGGTGAGGCCCCCCTGGGGGGGGGGCGTGGACCTCGGTGTGGCCTGTGACGACATGCATTCCCCGGCCCTCCCAGTGGTGACCCCCACCCATTCGGTCAGCACAGGAAGACGAGGCTTGTAAGCGCAATCGGAGGGGCGGGTGTGTGTGTGTGTGTGTTAAAAATGTCAGGCTGGCTGACCTCCTGAGCCATTGGTGTCTCCCTACTCTGTCCGCACCCCCGCCCCGTCTCCCCTTCCTCTACCACCGCGCGGGAGCGGGGAGCGGAGGCCGGGGAAGGGCCCCCTACCGAGTGCGGGGGCGGGCCGAGCGCAGCCGCAGGACCCGCCGCCCCAGGGCGCAGCGTGCGCGCCCCACTGCCCGGGACCGGCCACCCGCAGGCGGCCCGCCCTCGCCCCGCCCCCGTCCGGCCCCTCGCCCCGCCCCCGTCCTCGCCCCGCCCCTGGCCGGCCCCGCCCCTCGCCCCGCGTCCTTGCCCCGCCCCCACCCAGCCGCGCTTCTCGCCCCGCCCCCTGGCCAGCCCCGCCCCCTAACCAGCCCCGCCCCCAGCCCCCTCCGCCGCCCGGCGCCCGCGCTGCAGGAAGGAGGTGCCCGCTCTCAGCCGCGCCTGCCCCAGCGCGCCGATCCGCACCATGCCCCGCATAGATGCCGACCTCAAGCTGGACTTTAAGGATGTCCTGCTCCGACCCAAGCGGAGCAGCCTCAGGAGCCGAGCCGAGGTGGGGACCTCCGAAAGCCGCAGTGGGGGTGGGATTTGCTTTCCGGGTGGCTCAGGAGAGGACCGTGGACGGAGGTGGGATGGGCCAACCTGCCGGCTTTTCCGTGTGTCTGTGGGTGGATGGGATGCTGACCCCCTCCCCCGCGAGCCCTCCCGGTCTGCTGAGAAAGGGGGAAGCCAGCTGGTTCCCTGCCAGGACTGGAGGGGTCTTTAAGGGACCCAGCTCCGCTGGAAAATTCTGAATACGTCCCGTTGGGTGGGCAGGGGGGAGTGTACCACAGACTAGATACAGAGGAGCGAAGATCAAGCGGCCAGCTGACTTAGAAAGAATACGGGGGGGGGGGGTCGGGTTGGAGGGGTGCAGAGAGGAAGGAATTGACACAGTGGAGCCCAAGTGTAAAGGAAGAGCTTTGTGATTTTGGCACCGTCTCTTAGTGCGGAGAACTGCCCTTTGCTGTTTTAGTGTCAGCTCCAGCAAGGGATTTTTTTTTTTTTTTTTTGTAAATGTCTGAAAAAAACAGGCAAACTCCAGGGTATCAAAAGTTCAGGGTTTACTTTTCCACGTTCCAGTGACCTTGCTGGGAGTGAGGCTGCGGAGTCGTGCCTGGTGGCACCCTACCTACCTGACAGCTGCAGTCCAGCCCAGTTCCAGGAAAGCGGAAAGCACTGGGACACAGGCCTGGCAGTGGGAGGCAAATAGGACATCCTGGGCAGTTTTGCTGGTTCTGTATTGATGAGATCAGAGCCCAAGGAACAGGTGGATATTGGACTGACAGTAGCCGCAGGGGAGAGGGCCAGGGACACCCACACCCCTCCTGGGGACGACGAAGAATAAACTAGTTGCCCCTGAAAGGCAGAGACCCCTGGAGTAGGGTGTGCTGGGGACCATGGCTTTGCCTGGTCCTCTGAAAGCTGGAGAAGGAGGTGGGGAAATGGCTCCATCAGGAGCTGGGGCCTCAGGAGTAAACAGGAGGAAGCCGAGCCAGCACACTCTTCCAAACGCGCTGCTCCACAGGATCATAAATAAATCCCCTTGCAAGGAACTCAGCTGCCTGTCTGTGCCCATGGCCAGGCCTCGCTGCAGTGCCTGGCGTTGCCAGCCAAGGGCTTGTTTGGATTAAGGAAGCGTCCTCTTTTAGTCAGTGACCAGAACAAGTCACCTTCTCCAACAGGAGGGGTGGCAGCTGGACCCAGAGAGGATGGGACTGGGCAGGACCCCAAGAGGCCAGAAATGATTAACCCTTATCGCTCTGGTTTGGGATACCCTCTTCCTGCCCTTCATCATGTCCTTAAAGGTGCTAAAAGAGTGGGAAAATAAAAAGAAAAATAAATAGTTTGGGTGGCAGGTAGCTAGTAGTACCTAAGGCCGGAAGAAGGTGAAATGCGGGGATTCTGGGCAGACGAATCATGTGGTGGCCTCAATCTTCTTTCAGTATTTGTTCAAAATTCACTTAGGAGAGAGGAACTTAATTAAAAAAAAATATGTGCTTTATAGAAGGATTATCGTATGTACTTTCTGAGCCAGGAAAGATCTTGAGCGGATAGAACATTTATAATTTATGTGATAGAAGAAAGTATTCTTTTTCCAGAGAATAGTATGATGTCATGCATCATTTGGTTTCATGCTTTGGGCTGATTGAAACAATGTCCCAGCTTCCAGTGGTACCTTTGCAATCTCCACATACACATTGCAGTGAGAACTCTGTGCCCTTGAGAGATGTTTTCATATTTCCATTTTAGTGGGACTTTGCGAGCTCTGTGCCTGGAAACCAGAGTCAACTGGAATTGCCTTTCCAGTTCATTCCCCCGATGGTGTGGGTGCCTGGCTGGTGGCGTCCCATAATCTGCCTGCTTTAGTGATGTTTGAGGGATCTCCTTAGCCCTCGATCTAAGTAGGCTTCTATTCCCTCCTCAGTGTTTTCTCAGTTTGCTTGTGGATGCCTGGAAGTTCTTACAGGGAAATGATAAAAGCTTTTTATTGTGGGATCCGATCGAAGTCTGGGGTGCATGCCCCCTGACAGAGGTGATACCAGCATGCAAAGTTGAAACTTAACGGTAGAATGACAAGTCTTTGAGCCTCACTGGAGAGCAGAGCAGAGTGGAGCTAGGAGACAGAAAACATACCCTGTAAGAGCAGATCTGGCTGGGAAGGGAGTTTTGACTCTTGACAAGATTTATCACTGCAACAGTTTTGCTGAGAGTTGCGTCTGCTGATGGATCATCAGGCAGCGGACAGGAAATGGAGAGAAAGGCGGAGTGGTTTGCCACTTAGACTCCTGTAGGGGCATTTCTGCAAGTGTCATATAAAATGAATTTGAGGTCAGCTCCCAGAGGCAAAGGGTACAGGGGAAGGTGGGCCAGGTGGCCTTGCTTTGATTGTACCAGACAGGACTGGAGGTCATCTCTCAACTTGTGCAACAAGCCCCTGGTACACAAGAATAAAGTCCCACAGGGCTGCTTGGGGGCATTTGGGTAATCCTTTCAAAAGAAGTCACATGTTTGTTGATTGAACCAAGAAGTTTCTCTTTATCTGATTCACTGGCGTTGGTCAAGTCATTCCTTGACTCCCTGATCCGTTCACTCTTCTTCAGAACCCATTCCTGGGTCTGATGTTCGACGTGAGCCCTTAACCTAGGGTAAGATTTAAAAACAAAACAAACCAAAACTTATTAACACAGCCATAACTGTGGAAGTCAGACAATGAAGACATTTGTAGCAGAAAATTGGCCACTTGTCCAAGGACAGAGAAGACAGGATGCAATGAGAATTCAGTCTTTTTAAAACTCACGAGTGGTTTTTTTCCACCAGCGGTCCAGGGAGAGGCAGACCGGATCCAGGGAAGTCTGACTGAGCCTTAGGGGTCCACGGCAGGTTGGCCCACAAGGGATCAGAGCGTGGCAGTGGAGAGAATATCCGGCTGCGAGCAAACTGACCTGGGTTTTTTTTTTTTTTTTCCAACATCTGTGCTATTTTAGTACCTTGGCTCTGTGTTAGTTTCATGGGGCTGCTGTAACAAAGTACCACAAACTATGTGACTTACACAATAGAAATTTATTGTCTCACAGTCCAGGAGGCTCCTAGCCCCAGATCAAAGTGTCCAGAGGCTGGATCCTTCTGAGTGCTGTGAAAGTGAATCTGTTACATTGCTCTCTCCACCCCTCTGGTTGTTTACCCGCAGCCTTTGATGTACTTTGCCTTGTAGATGCATCATTCCATCTCAGCCTTCATCTTTATGACATGTTCTCCCTTTCTGTGGGTCTGTGTCCACACTGTCCCATTTTGAGAACACCAGTCATGCTGGGATGCACCCTACCTGACTGACCTCATCTTACCTTGATCATCAGCAAAGCCTCTTAACGGTTCACAGGTACCGCCGGTTGGCATTTCAGCATCTTTTTGGAAGACACATTTCAAACCATAGCAGCCTCTAGCAATTTTGCTCTGTAGAATTAGAGGGTTTGAGTAGCATTGTTCTTAATGAATGCTTCAGAATCACCTAGGGAGACACTCCAAAATACACATATTGTCTCCCAACACAAAGCTTCTCGCTTACTGAGTTTGGAGCGGCATGAGCATGTGTATTTTGGAAATCTTCCTACAGTGGTTCTGATGTGCACACAGATGCGCTGGGCTAGCCGCTGGAGTCTTTTCCATTTGTGGAACCCTGTGGCTCTCTGGTAATGCACAGCTGCGCAAGCTTGTCCAGATCCTGGCAATTGGTGATGAAGCCTGCGGGGGACAGAACATGTCCAGAAAGCTAGGCTGGGACCCCACCAACCATTGCCCTGAAATACAATACCAGTTTTAACCCTTGGTCAGACATTAATTTATTCCTCAACTCTGAGCTCCTAGGACTATGAAGATAAGAGGGATTATCCCGATAGACTTACCATTTACAGGTGAGACAGATAATAATGTATTTAATAAAAGAATTGCTTGCATCAGTACTCACACCGCACTTCTGCTCCCCTGTACCCTCTTCACTGGATAGGGACTAGAAGGCCCAGCTTATCCTCTAGGGCATGTTGTAGGTCCTCGGGATCCTGGATTTCCTTGCCCAGAAGACTTCAGGCTAATTCCGAGGCTTGTGAGGGCTCCTTTCCAAGGTGTGTTTTTCTAGACCTGCCATGCTGCTGGTGTACTCCCCTCCAACCTCAGAGAGTGGCCATGCATCATCTGTGTGTGGGAACGGATGTGTGTGTATATGGAGCTTGGTGTGCAGACGGGGGTGTCTGTGTGTGCACATAAGGATTTGGGTGGGATGAGAAGAGGATGTGGACCAGAGGCCAGGGTCTGGTTCTCCATATCATCGTGTCCTGGTGCTTTCTCGGTCATTAATGAAATTGTGTTTGCCAAGATGGGAGAATGGAACACAACATAGAAAGAAGGCTTATGCTTATGTAGGAGCCCGTTAGCTCGAGCGTAACGTTGAGGTACTTAGAAATGTGATGGGTGGGTTTCCATTTGTGCTTTTGGCTCCCAAATGTTGGGCTGTAGGACTTTATTTATTTATTTATTTATTTATTCATTCATTCATTCATTCATTCATTCATTCATTCTTGAGAGACACCGAGAGAGGCAGAGACACAGGCAGAGAGAGAAGCAGGCTCCCTGCGGGGAGCCCTATGTGGGACTCGATCCCAGGACCCGGGGATCACGACCTGAGCCAAAGGCAGATGCTCAACCACTGAGCCATCCAGGCGCCCCTGTAGGGCTAACTTTAGTGAGAAGGTGCGTTAAAAGAGCAGCAGAAACATGTACTTTTGAGGTGGGGGAGGGGTAGTTTATTCCTTTATGTTCCCTTGCAAATCAAGCTTAGCAGAGTGGGGACTTGGAGGTGCTATATTTGGTGCATTGACCAGCTGTGGCAGATTAAATGCCAAGTTTTTGTCCTGGGAGGCTGGAGTATTTAAACTGTCTCAGTGAACAAGTGGTATATTTTGTGCGTGTGTGTGTGTGTCTGTGCACGCACGTGCGTGTGTCTTTTTGTGTGTGTCTTTTTGTCTGTGTGGATAAGATTGGGGAAGATAATTACTAATTTTTTGAAATTGATTTTTATTTTAAAAATTTAATTCCAGTATAGTTAACATACAATGTAATATTAGTTTCAGGTGTACACTATAGTAATTCAACAATTCCGTAAGCTCCTGATGCTTATCACAGCAAGTGCCCTCCTAACTCTCCGTCACCTGTTTCACCCATCCCCCATCCCCTCCCTCTGGGAACCCTCCATGTGTTCTCTAGAGTTAAGACTCTGTTTCTTGGGGCACCTTGGGTGGCTCAGCGGTTTAGCGCCGCCTTCAGCCCTGGGTGTGATCCTGGAGGCCTGGGATCGAGTCCCACGTCAGGCTCCCTGCATGGAGCCTGCCTCTCCCTCTGCCTGTGTCTCTGCCTCTCTCTCTATCTCTGTTTCTCATGAATAAATAAAATCTTTTAAAAAAAAAGAGACTCTGTTTCTTGGTGTGCACCCTCCACCATTTTTCTTTGTTCATTTGTTTCTTAAATTCCACATGAGTGAAATCAATTGGCATTTCTCTTTCTCTGATTTATTTCACTTAGCATTATACTCTCTACCTCCACCCATGTCGTTGCAAATGGCAAGATTTCATTCTTTTTTATAGCTGAATGATATCCCATTGTTTATATACACCACATCTTCTCTGTCCATTCATCAATCGATGGACACTTGGGCTGTTTCCATGATTTGTCTATTGTGAATAATTCTGCTATAAACATAGGGATGCATGTATCCCTTTGAATTAATGTTTTTGTATTTTGGGGGATAAATACCCAGTAGTGCAATTGCTGGATCATAGAGCAGTTCTATTTTTAAGTTTTTGAGGAACTTCCTTATTATTTTCCAGAGTGGCTATACCAGTTTGCCTTCCCACCAGCAGTGCAGGAGGGTTCCTTTTTCTCTACATCCTTGCCAACATCTGTTGTTTCCTGTGTTTTTCATTTTAGCCTGTCTGACGGGGATGAGGTAGTATCTCATTGTGGTTTCATTTGATTTTCCCTGATAATGAGTGATTTTGAGTATCTTTTCCTGGGTCTGTTGGTCATTCGAGTGTCATCTTTGGAAAATGTCTATTCAGGTGCTCTGCCCATTTTTAATTGGATTGTTCATTTTGGGGGTGTTGAGTTGTATAAGTTCTTTATACATGGTTTTATATATGTATGTATATATATATACATATATATACATATATATATATATATATATATATATATATATACTGATAGAGATACCGAGCCTTTATCAGATACATTATTTGCAAATATTTTCTCCCATTCTGTGGGTTGCTTTTGTTGATTGTTTCCTTTGCTGTGCGGGAAGCTCTTTATTTTTACGTAGTCCCAATAGTTTATCCTTACTTGGAGAAGATAATTTTATTTCTCATTCTTAGAATTAAAGATTGTGTGGAATCTACCATATGAAGAATAGAAATAAGGGCAGGAGTTCACTGTCAAGGCTGACCTTTTTCCATGAAGAGCTCTGTTTTTTCCATACTGCTGATAGGGTTTTGGGGTGCCAAGAAAAACCCATCATGAGCTCAGCTGGGTGCAGAGTGTAGCAGCCCTCCCCATGCATCTTGGGAGGAGTATGAGTAATTTGAGAGCTAGGAATTCTGGTTATTTTGAGCTTGCAAAGCCAGAATGTTAGAGTGCCCTTAGCAGCACAGAAAGTTGCAACTAATAGACTCCTTCAGTTATCTTTCAGGATGCAAATCTAACTTTGCTTCACTGAAGTAGAGCCAAGAATCATAATGAAGGAAGTAGAGAAGCGAATGAGCTGCCCCACCTGCTCATGCAGTGAGAGCATCTTATTTCCCCTCATCTTTGCTGCTGCTTAAGGCCAGAGCAGACATACCTATGACATCATTCACCCAGGCAGCCTTCTGGACATGGAGTTGTATAGAGAACAAGCAAGATGTGTGGGAAGGCTATATGGCCCGAGATGTCCCTTGGTGTTTTTTGACCTGTTAATTGCAAAGTGAAAGGTGTTTCAAATGAAAAGGGATCTGAGAAGGATCTAGATAGCAGGAAATGATTATTGCTGATGTATTCATGAAGCCAGGATTAACGTAGGTGGAAATTGTTTCAGAAGCTGAAGATTCATACCTGTGTGTCTCTTGCCACTTCTCCTTGGGGAGGCACCCGCTTCCAGGCTGGTCTTGTCTGTCAGGGACCAGCCAAGGGAACAAACAGTGCTAAATATGTAAAACAGGGAATTGAATACAAGATATCCGAACTCAGGTGACAAGCCAGATGAGGTATTGGGGCACCCCAGAGATTGACAGCAGTGTAAGACCACTTCCAAAGGGGAAGTGGTAATGTTACTGGAGTCCAGGTACTGGAATGACTCTGTGAAAGCTGGCCCCAAGACTGTGCAGGCCAAAGTAGAGGGGTTCTGGGGGACCTACCTTGACTCCATACAGGCCCCCCTCCCTGGTCCTACACTATCCTTAGTTTCCTGCCTCTTTTCTTCATTGGCTGAACCCAGCCAGAAGCCAACCTGGGCAGTGAAGCCCGTGTCAGGGGCGGGGTGTGATGTGGACTTCGGATGGTAAGAGGAGGTCAGGAAGGGATGCGGAATGGATCTGTGAGCATGCAGGCCTCAGTTCTGCCTGGGTGAAACAAGTGGTTCTGACTCTGCTAGCTCTGCTACCTCTTCCAGAGCACGCAGCTTTTGCGGAGCCCACCATCATGGTTTAGCTCTTGTTCTGGATTCCTGATAGCTGGCTTAGTCACAGATGTCCTGAAGTTGAAGTTACAATGGAATCAGAGGGCCCTCCCTCCAACATTTGCAGGTCAAAAGAGCAAGTGTTGATAGGCATAGACTATCTGGTTGCAAGGACTTCCTCTCAGCTCTTTGAAGGAGGGTATTATGCTGAGTGAAATAAGTCCATCAGAGAAGGACAAACATTATATGGTCTCATTCATTTGGGGAATATAAAAAATAGTGAAAGGGAATAAAGGGGAAAGGAGAGAAAATGAGTGGGAAATATCAGTGAGGGTGATAGAACATGAGAGACTCCTAATTCGGAAACGAACCAGGCATAGTGGGAAGGGCGGAGGTTGGGGGGGGTGGGGAATGGGGTAGGTGACAGGCACTGAGGGGGGCATTGATGGGATGAGCACTGGGTATTATGCTATATGCTGGCAAATTGAACTCCAATGAAAATAATTAAAAAAAATTAAAATAAAAAAAAAAGATGCTACGAATCACAAAGCAGGGGAGAAGGTTGACAGGTTAAGGTATTTTATGGTTTGCTGCTCACTGCAAGGTGATTTTAGAGGGTCTGGTTCTCTCTAACAGTAAGAATGAGGGGGAGAACCATGCTTGGCAGGGGAAGGGTCCCTCTGGGGCTTGGAAGTGGGGTAAGGTAGTATGTATGTGGGTATTGAAAGCCAGGCTGGATCAGTCTAGGGATGGTAGTGGGTTGGGAGGGGCTGCTGAAGGAGGAAGGCTTCCCATTAGGAGGTTTGGTTTGATGGCAAGACATCCAGTGTCTTGTACTGACAACTTGAGCATCTTCAAGAGGCCGGTTCAGCTTTGTCCCCGGATGACAACCTGTTACCTGGTCTCCTCGGGAGCTCTCCTGTCTTTGGAACACCTGGCTCAGCCCCTAAGAGACCCAGGGGCATACACTCCCTTTTTGTTCTTTCCTTGCTCCACACTCTAGAAATCCATCACAAACCACTTAAAGAGTATAGCACTTCTCTTTCTTTTTTGCCAACAGGTGGACCTTGAGCGTACCTTCACATTTCGAAACTCAAAGCAGACCTACTCAGGGATTCCCATCATTGTGGCCAACATGGACACCGTGGGGACATTTGAAATGGCAGTGGTGATGTCACAGGTAGGATGGTGGGCACTCTTCCCTCGGCTGCTTGCCCTGGAGAGGTTGTCAGGAGCCCAGCCTGGACTTGTTCAGACACAAAGAAGAGGAGCAGATTGAGACATTTGGGATCATCCACTGTGGCCAAGCTATTAGGCTCTTGGTTGTCCGATGGTTGCTGGAGGCACTTCTTTCCCTACCTTTGCAGTCAGAAGATGGATGGAGTCTGGACTTTGAATTCAATGCAGGTCTAGACCTGCAACCATTTCTTCCTTGGAAACACTCACTGGGGATCCCTGGGTGGCGCAGCAGTTTGGCACCTGCCTTTGGCCCAGGGCGCGATCCTGGAGACCCGGGATCGAATCCCACGTCAGGCTCCCGGTGCATGGAGCCTGCTTCTCCCTCTGCCTGTGTCTCTGCCTCTATCTCTCTCTCTCTCTGTATGACTATCATAAATAAGTAAAAAAATTAAAAAAAAATAAATAAAAATATTAAAAAAAAACACTCACGGTAGTTTTAGAAACCAGAAATATTATAACGTTAGACTAGTGTCATAGTCTAGAAGAGCAACGTTGCCTTCGAAACAAATGCAGAACTGCTTTCTCTGCAGTCTGTTTGTAACATTTATTACACAATTATGTACAAAACATTTATTGAGCACTCATGTGCCAAATAGTAGATATACTGTGTGTAATGTTATCACAGCCCCTCTGGGCGGGTTCCTTTAACAGAACTGAGGCAGAGAGAGGGGGAGGAAAGGTCAGTTGAACTCTTGAGGTAGAGACAGAGCCAAGCTTCAAGCCCAGACTGATTCTAGAGTAAGTGATTTGCCTCCCAATTCACACTGACAGGTAACAACAGGAGAAGCTCAAGGTCCCTTCTAGCCAATTACTCATCTCATTTCCTATAAAGGGAGTAGCTGGTGTCCTGGCATTGGGAGAAATGAAGGAAAAGCCCTTTGTGGGTGGGGCCTTTGTCCCACGCGGCTGTGTCTGAGACACAGTGCACCTTATTCATCCTTGATGTGAAATGTTTGCTTCTGATGTGCACAGAGCTTGTGTGTCTTTTTCCATCAATGATGGCCTGCCAAGTAGAAAGAGAAATCCAATTAGTTGGAAGAGCTTCTCACTGGGCAGCGACTCAAACCTCAGGAGGTACTAGGATTCATTATTAGCCAGTGATTAGAAGGAAGATTTTCAAACAGATTATGAATTCAAAGAATGGAATAGTGGGTGGTCCATCTGAGTCCATGATTAGTAGTATTCTCTTTCAGCCCACAGGACCCACAAAACTTTGGCCTGGAGGCGAATACATTAATCGCTGAAGAAATCTGTTTTTTTTTTTTTTCTCCTTGTCTCATGCTTGCTCTGCTCGTTGATACAGCCATTGCTACAAATGAATTATGTATTAGGGTAAAAGTGGGTGGAATCAGGGAACAGTAAGGAAGTATATTGGTTCACATATGGGCGTACTAGTCCATGAAACATGGAGAGCTTGCTGTGCCCTGCCCATTTTCACAGGAAAGACTCCCTGTCATTTGAGACCATGTACGTTGAAAATATAGTAAAATGGTGTCCTTTGAAACCATGCACAGGTACTATGAGTTTCCTGTTTCTAGGATCCACTGAGTTAGTGTGAGTTAATAAAGTCATGGAATTTTAATTTTTTTTAAAGAAGATTTTATTTATTCATGAGAGACACACAGAGAGAGGCAGAGACACAGGCAGCGGGAGAAGCAGGCTCCATTCAGGGAGCCCGATGTGGGACTCAGTCCCAGGACCCCGGGATCACGACCTGAGCCAAAGGCAAGATGCTCAACCACTGAGCCACCCAGGTGCTCCACGTTATGGAATTTTAGAACGGGAAAGTGTAGATGGGGAAATCAACCCAGAGCAGTTAGGAGAGGGGATGGAACCTGAGCTCTCTAGTCAGATTTGCGTTTGCTCTTGGCCTTTGCTCGTCTTTAGCCAAGCAATTGTTAAATTGTTAAGCTCCATTTGTGTACACAAAGCTAGCATTACCCTGCGAAGTTGCCCTGAGAAGGAAAGGAAATGAAATGGTACACAAAGTGCTTGTGCAAAGTGTGGATGTTGGACTGGGTTGGTAGTCCTAGATTTGGGATTATAATTTGTAGCATTCCCTCCATGAAGAATAGCAACTACATGTTGGGTTTAGCTTTTAGCAAGATCTGTTCAGACTGTGAACCCAAAGGAAAGCTTTCAGGTATAAGTCGAGGTCCTTCTGGGCTGGCTAAGGAGCAGATGGCCCTCGAGCGCTCTTAGGGGCCAGGCATCTGCTGTCTGCTGGCCTGGGCCTGACTCAGGCTGTGGGCCAGGACAGGGCTCTGGGAACCCATCCTTTCCCTCCCTGGCCTCTTGGCAGATCCTCCTGAGTCCTGAATGCAGTGTCGACTGATCAGATTAGAATGGAAACCACAGTTGTGTGATTTTACCGGCTACACCTTCTTCTGTTTTTTGGCTTTCAGCATATTTAAAGCAAATTAAGCGTGAACTGGCAGGAACACCCCATTCTTTTGTGTTGTCGGGTTACCTTGGCACATTAGAGGAAGTAGAGCGGAATCAAGTCAAGTCACTTGACTTCTTGTCCTAACAGTGCTGTTTTCTCTCCTAGCACTCCATGTTTACAGCAGTTCATAAGCACTATACCCTGGATGACTGGAAGCTCTTTGCTGCTCATCACCCAGAATGTCTGCAGGTAGGACTACACCCCAGTTATAAATCACATCTCTTGCAGGAGGGGAGAAAGACTTCAGGGTAGTCAAAAGGATTTGAACTGGCAGCAGATGGCCATGCAGAGTCCCTAGAGAGACCTGTGGAAAGTCAGTAGTGGGCCTCTGCCCTTCATCGTTGCCAGAGACTTGCCAAGAAAACTTGTGCAGGATCCTATTTTGAAAATATTAAGATTTCTCTAACAGGAATATCTTTTTTTTTTTCCCTTGAAAAATTTTGTGTTATGTCATGAGGGCCTGTGGAAGACCTGTGTTTCCTGCAAGGGGTGCATTTTGGTCTGAGCAGGCCTTTGATGGAGGAAAAACATCCAATTATAACAAGTTGTTTTGGAGTCGAATAAGCAATATGTCCACTAGGTTGGCTGTAATCAAAAAGACAGATACTAATGAGTGTTGGCGTGGATGTGAAGAAGTTGGAGCCCTTCCGCATTGCTGGTGGGAATGTAAAATAGTGCAGCTGCTTTAGAGCTCAGTTTGGCAGTTACTCAGAAAGTCAGACAGCAGAGTTACCCTTTGCAAACCCAGCAATACCATTTCTAGGTGTAGACCTCACAGACAGAAAAATACGTGTCCACACAGAAACTTGTACACAAATGGCATTATTATAAAGGCAGAAAGGTAGAAACAACCCAAGTGTTCATGAACTGATGAATGAATAAAGAAAATCTGGTATGTACACAGAATGGAATACTATTCAACTGTAAAAAGGGGTAAAGTCCTCTGATTCATGCTACAACTCGGATGCACCTTGAAGACATTTTTGCTCGGTGCCAAAGCCAGACACGAAAATGTTTCTGCTTATGTGAAATGTCAAAAAATAGGCCAACCTACAGAGACAAAGGAGATGAGAGATTGGCTAAGGCTGGGGAGGGTGGGAGTTTGAGGGTACAGGCCAAAGCGTGTGGGAGTGACAAATGTTTTAAAATTGTGGTGGCGGTTGCACAATGCAGAATAGACCAAAAGCTACTGAATTGTGCACTCTAAATGGGTGGATTTTGTGGAATGTACTGATAGTTCACTAAAGCTGTTACTAAAAAAGAAAAGAAAAAAAAGGCAGTTTGAAAATAACAAAAACTCTTATTATGCAGCACACCTGACTTGCCACCTGGCACATTTGCGTGGTTCTGAGCCAGCGCCACCAGAGAGCTTTCTTTGCATTGGAGACGCTCTCCTCTGTGATCAGATTGTGTCTGGAAAGTGACTTCATATTATACTGCTTTTGAGGTTTTACTGGCCCCTTTGTCTCCTTGGCTGTACCGAATGTACATTTTGATTAGTGAGAAGGTGGTTTTGGAGATACAGTAATTCTGGCTCAGTACCAAGTCCTGCATTTTTTCCATATCATGTTTGAATGAATATTAATTGCTTCACCTTTTTTCCTCCCCGTAAGAAGCTTGGAGAGTGATGATTTTTTGCAGGGGAGGGGAGCGAGCCGTACCTCTGACTGCTGTACAGGAGCTTTTGGCAATGTGTTGTTAATTAGAACCTTGTCCTTCATTACCGCGCGCGATCATTTGACTTACTACTCTGCCTCTGACCAAATTAAAGGCTAATTAAAAAGAGGAAAATGTCAAAAACTTGGTAACATTGAGAGAAATGAACCAACCTTGAGTTCCACTTGCCAAACTAACAGAAATGGGAGGGAAAATAGGAAAGGTGACAAAGCTCTAGTGGGAGGGATGGATTGGGCCAGCACTGGGCAGACTGGCAGCAGGAGGAGTGAAAACTGGTATAAACACAGAAAACTGGAGTAAACATGTATCAAGTTATCAGGCTGTTTACATTCAGTGTCTGTGTTGTCAATACATTGTTGCAATTTTAGGGGCATCACGAAGGATATTCAGATATGTCCCCCCAACTTGTGGCTCCTGGCTTAGGGAAGTGACATAAAATACAAATATTCTTTTTTTTTTAAAGATTTTATTTCTTTATTCGTGAGAGACACAGAGAGAGAGAGACAGACACAGGCAGAGGGAGAAGCAGGCTTCCTGTGGGGAGCCCGATGTGGGATTCGATCCCAGGACCCCGGGATCACAACCTGAGCCAAAGGCAGACGCTCAACTGCTGAGTCACTCAGATGCCCCTAAAATATATTCTTCTAAGAGGTGAGATGGTGACCCTGAGCACAACCCCAAGATTTAGTTACACTAAGGCATAAATTACAAAAAACAAATCTTCCAAAGTGCAGATTTTCACAGAAGCCGAGGGGCGGGTTGGAGAGCCCTGGTGCTGTGAAGGTTGGGGAAGAGGGTATCGCTGAGGGGGCTGTGGTGGCTTCAGATGTAAACACAGACAGGTGCAGCTAGGAAAGATCATTTTAGGCTCGTCCGTTCTTGGACCTTTTGGACATTTTGCCCTTTTGGTAGGAGCCCTGAGTGTTGCAGTTTTTTTTGTGTAGGTTATGATTTGCATGTTGTCACAGTATTGTATTGAGAGCAAAAACGCAGATAGGAAGGAGTTTTATCAGAGGAGTTTGAGACATCCTCCACTTCCTCCTGGTCCCCATGTAAGCTGCTCGGGGTGACCCCACAGCTCTGGTGGGAGGAAGCTTGTGTCAACTGGCTGCCCCTCATTCTTCTGTCTCTCATCTTTTCCAAGAAGAGCAGAATTCGAACCAGCAGCTCCATGCTTCAGAGTTCCACACAGCTCGAGGAAATTGAGGAAAAGCCAAGGACTAGGTTTCCTGAATAATTAAACATCTGATCACTGGCCAGATTCTGTGGCCGAGAGTGGATCTCCTTTTTACCTCCGCTGCTGTGTGTTTCTTGAGCGGATCCACTGCAGGTGTATTATTTGGTCCACATAGACCTCAGAGACTCACTGCACTCTGGGAACAGCAGAATGGGTGGAGGCAGGATCTGACTTTTGGATGCTACTCCCTCCTCACATCTGGTGCCTCTTGGTTTATTTTGGTACAGCACGTAGCCGTGAGTTCGGGCAGTGGGAAGAGCGATATGGAAAAGATGAGTGGCATCTTGGAAGCGGTGCCGCAGGTCAAGTTTATTTGCCTGGATGTGGCCAACGGGTACTCAGAACATTTTGTGGAGTTCGTGAAGCTGGTGCGTGCCAAATTTCCAGAACATACCATCATGGTAGGTATAGTGGAACACCCTCTAGGTGGGGGGAAAGCAGAAAGGGGGCTGTTCAGCGTGTTGGGGGAGCTTCTTACTGAGATGAGTTGAGAATCATTACAAAAAGAAGAGGCAGAGGCTATGAAAGTATGCAGACTGGCTCTCCATAAAAACTAAAGTCCAGATGAGCATCACAGGGTGTTGGCTTTTTATATCCACCCACCAGCATCAGATGTTTCTTACCATGGGATACCTTTGAACAAAGGTCTGTGTCACCCCTTACTAAAGAGTTTGTGTTTAAAAAAATGAAAATAGCGCAGTTGGGTTTGAGTGTAACCAGTTGGGGTCATCTGTAGCCCTCTCCTAACTTGCCAGTAGAAAACTGTCTTGTAACAGGTGAAATACCCCATGTGAACAGGAGTCCAAGTGGCCCACCATTATTTGCAAATCAGCTGTGGAGTATTGTTTTGTCAAGACCTTTATTCTTGATTTTGCCTGCCTTTTGTGTATCTTCCTAATTACGAACACCTTCACTGGTCAGAAAGTTTATTTGCTGTTGCCAGGAAAGGCGGACTTACAGACAAAGGGACTAGAAGCTCTTGGGTTAAATGTGGGTTTTCAGAAAGTCCTCATTGTTATTATATGTCTCTCTACTGGTCTTAGTTAACGTGACAATTATGGACTGTCCACTAGATAATTAACCTGTGTCTCCGCTTTTGATAATTTTGCATTTTTTTTCTCCTCGAATTTCATCATCACAAGGAAGTTGGGACACAGGAATTCCTTTTATTAGTGGAGTTAAATCTTTCCTTAAGGATTCACAAGGATTTTTAAGATAAGTATTTTTATGCTTTCCAGTCCTGTGAGAAGAAAGGATTAAGAGTTGTCCCAAGGTCAACCAGCTGTATGGTATGAGAAATCGGGTGGGAGATCAAAAAAATCCTTTTATCCTCCAGAGTAGTGCTGCAGTGTCATTTTTTTTAACGATTTATTTATTTATTCATGAGAATACACAGAGAGGAGAGAGGGAGGGAGAGGCAGAGACACAGGCAGAGGGAGAAGCAGGCTCCATGCAGGGAGCCCGACATGGGACTCAGTCCCGGGTCTCCAGGATCACACCCCAGGATGAAAGCAGGGCTAAACTGCTGGGCCACTGGGGCTGCCCGCTGCAGTGTCATTTAAAAAAATATTTTATTTATTTATTTGACAGAGGGAGAGAGAATGCACTAACTGGGGGAGGGATAAAGGGAGAGGGAGAAGTGGACTCTTCACTGAGCAGGAGGCCACATGGGGCTCAATCCCAGGACCCTGAGATCATGACCTGAGCCGAAGGCAGATGCCTGACCGACTGAGCCACCCAGGTGTCCTATGTCATTGTAGTTTTTGATAACAGTAATACTGCTTTTTGAGTAACCCCAGGCTTCAGGAGGTTCACATCTGTTCTTTCTCTTCCACATAGTGTTTCTCTAAAGAACAGGAATTGTCCTGAATTTATCACAGATGAGGAATCTTGAGTCTAATCTGGTCTTACACTTTGGATTGTTCACAAAGTCATATCAATACGAACAGCGAATCGAGGATTTGAAGCCAGGTGGCGCGTATCTAGCACCTAGCATCCGGAGGCTCTTCTGTCCCCAGCCACCTGTAACTTTTTCTCACGTGGGAGGGAACAGAGAGCTGGACTCCCAGAAGAGCAGAAGCCCCCGCCCGGGCCCTTTGCTGGGACCTGGTACCCCTAACCAGTATTTGGTATTGAATATAAATTCTGTGAAACACTGAGTGGCACTAGAAAGAGCATGACAAATGTGTTGACCAGGAGAGGACTCCTTTATTTATTCCTTGTGGAGAGAAGGAGATAAAGCAGGCCCAGGATTACTGTTGATGGGTCTCCTTATCTGAGTTAATATGGTCTAGATCTTTCCAGATCTTTCTAGTTCACCTCATGTGTTAATTGTGCTGGGGATAGAAGTGACTACTGATAAACTTAGAAGTTGTACTTTTTACCTCCACTGGCATTTAGGGGGTATAAGGGTTCATTCTGAAGGGTTAGGAATCAGAAATGACATGGGTTTAGTAAGGCCATTCAGTGGTTCCCCTTTTTTTCCTCTGGTAATTCTTGCATTAAATTGTGAAATAGAGTGTACCTACAGACAAGTGCTTAGAACGTGGGTATTTAAAAAATAGCACTTTCCAGTGCCCCTACACTCAGAAGCCCCTATTCCCACAAAAGACAAAGCCCCACCTTGACGTTAGCCATCATTTTTTTTCCTCATGGTGTCTTTGGTTTCACCACTGCTGACGGCTTCTTAACGGTATTTAACTGTGCCTGCTTTTGGACCTTTTATAAGTGGTAACCCTGCTGTGTTCTCCTGTCATGTTTTGACCAGTAGCATATTGAGATGCAGCCACACTTTAGGGAAGCTATGTAGTAGGTATTCCATTGTTCCTAGAACAAATCTTTATTTTTTTTAAGACTTTAAAAAAAATTTTATGTATGTATGTATATGTTTATTTATTTAGAGAGTGTGAGTAGGGGGAGAGAGAGAGGGCGAATGTCAAGCAGACTCCCTGCTGAGCTCGGAACCCAACTCGGGGCTGGATCCCACGACCTTGAGGTGATGACCTGAGCCCAAATCAAGAGTCAGATGCCCAACCAACTGCACCACTCAGGTGCCCCAGGAACAAGTCTTTAATACTGTTGCCCACCTGCCCCCACTTGTCCCTTCCCCTTGTTCTACTTTGTCGCTGGTTGTGACGCCGTTACAATCGCTAAGTTAGTGCCTCTGAAGTTGGTGTGTGACCACATGATCCCAGTCACACTGAGCAAGTCACATAACCTTCTCATTTCCCTCACCTATGAAAAGGGGGTCAAGGATGGCTGGAGAATTTGGTGGATCGGGGAGGCGCGGGGATCAGATGGTGTGATGTGTGCACAGCGCAGTTTTCACAAACAATTGTTTGTTGGTTGTGCGTACCGTTGAGGACAGATGCCCGAAGCACTGATGAGAGATGGAAGGGCTGATGGAGAAGAAGAATGGAAAATGGGATGGGAGAGTATTCATTTTTGTTTTAAGAAGTTGGAGAAAACATGTACTCCTTCTCTCAAAAGAATAAGTGATTGCAGAAATCAGTGAGAGTTCCAGAACTTTCTATCATATACTCCCAACAGTTGCCTGTGAGTTTCAGCTCATAGCTGGCCCTGCCGAGAGCTGAGGCAAATTGCCCGTTGTGGAACCCAGAGAACTCAGTGGCGTTTCACCCCTCAGGGATGCAGACCAGGGAGCGGAGGCAGTGCAGGAGGGGGGTAGGCTGGTAGTATGGGGGAAAGAGCGTTGTCACCAATGCGACCCTGGGAGTTGCCATGGGGATGAGGCTGGGAGGGAGAGATTGGCGCAGAATTCCCACGGCCCTCTGGGCAGCCGCCACCAGCAAGTGCCTCTTTAGCATCTGCTGGTTGGCTCTGGGATGTGTTTTCATTGTTCTGTTGGTTTCCCCAGCAATGAACGGGGACTCTGGCGAGCTAGGTACGTTATTCCCGAGGCGTTCTTTGCTTGCACTGACCCCTGAAATCTGGGATTCATTTTGGAAACCTTCAGTATTCTTAAAACCCTTGGTTTGGGTAAGTGTAATTTCTCTTACGGCTTATGGATGCATTACCATTTGTCCAATGTTTTGGAACCAAAAGATGTATAATATGGATGCTGAGTGTCATCATGATCGCTCCAGGGCAGTGAAGGAGAGGGGTGCTCAGAAATGGTCTTGGTTGGGGCACCTGGGTGGCTCAGTCAGTTAAGCATCTGCCTTTGGCTCAGGTCATGACCCCAGGGTCCTGGGATGGAGCCCGTAGTGCGGCTCCCTATTTAGTGGGGAGCCTGCTTCTCCCTCTCCCTCTGCCTTCCACTCCTCCTGCTTGTGCTCTCTTGCTCTCTCTGTCAAATAAATAAATAAAATCTTAAAAAAGAAAGAAATAAAATCTTGAAAGAAAGAAAAGAAAAGAAATGGTCTTGGTTGAGTCTGGAGGTTCCAGGTGTCTATGGCAGGAATAAGAGCTGGTTGTTCCCTGGATTCCCGTGCACACCCCATTTCCTTGCCTTTCACCCAAGGCACACTTTGCCACATGCAAGGAGGGAAGAAGCAGCGAGTTTTAGGAAACTTTGGCAGAAAAGGGTCCTGCTGGCTGGTAGAACAGTGTAGTAGATCCTAGAGCCATTTGCCTGGTGGCTTTCAGAGAGGAAGAAGAATGACCTGTTACTGTAGGAAAAGGCACTAGCATGGGTGAGGCACTTCTAATGATCTCAAATCTTTGAGCACGGCTGGTAGCACCTACTTTGATTGACGCGACACTCATTTTAGGGAGCTCAGGGAACTTTCTGAGAATCACACAGCCAATAAGAAGTGGGCTTGGGGTTCGGAGCCAGATCACCTCCCCATAGGGCCTGTGATCTTCCAGTTATACCGCACTGCAGCCGGCAGCCGTGCCAACTTGTTGGGACATAGACGTCCCTATGCAGCGTCTGAGAAACTGTTTTGTGCTAGTTGCTCTTTGTGACTTGGTCCTGGGGAAGTAGGTCTGTAACACCCCAACTGTTCAGAGTAGACTAGAGGCCCAGCTCCACGCCCCTGGGAAATGCCACCTTAACCAGTGTGGACTGGTCCTCAGGTAGCCATGGGCACAGCCTCAGCATTTCTGTGCATGGCCAGTGGCTCAGTCACCTGCACTCATGATCAGAGCCACAGGGGGCCACCTTCTCTTGCTCTATCCCTCTTCCCAGGGAGGTGGACACTCTGTAGAATTGCTTGCAGGTGGGCAGCCTCACTTGTGGAGTGTGGAGCCAGCCTTGCTGAAGTCCAAGGGAGTGGTTAGCCGGACAGCGCCCTTTAGGCTGAGTTGCCTGGATTTCCTGATTTTACCCTCTTTCTGGAACTAGTGTGAACTGGAACTTGGCAGAAGCTATGAAGGGCCTCAGATCCAGGTGATGTTTATCTTTGAGAGTTCCGTAGTAAACTTAGTTTATTTAATG